TTACATATGTGCAGGCAATATACTCATACACATAAAATAAAAATAAATAATAAGAGTCTTATTGAATGTGAAGGTACTGAAGGGAACTGGTCTACATAAAGAATCTACCACACTTTTTTTTTTACATTTGTGGGTTTTTCATCCAGGAGTTATGGTCAGTCTGAAGAATAAGCAATGTGTAACAGTTTTACCACATTGTTTACATTCACAGTATGAGTTCTTTCATGTAATTACAAGGAAGTGTAACATCCAAAGGCTTCGCCACATTGCTCACATTCATAGAGCTTTTCTCCAGTATGAATTTCTGAATGGAACTGACCATAACTCTAACATCCAATAGCTTCAACACATTGTTTATATTCATAGAGCTCTCATCCACTATGATAGTTTTCATGTAATCGCAAGGAACCATGAAATCTAAAGGCTTTTCAACTGTGTTTACAATGACAGGGTTTTCCTCCAGTATGAATTCTTTCATGTAATGGAAGACAATTGTGATATGTAAAGACTTTAGCATATTAATTACATTCGTAGGGTTTCTCTCCTAGAGTTCTTTCATGTCTTTGAAGATTACTGTGCTTTCTAAAAGTTTCACCGCACTGTTTGCATTCATAGGGTTTTTCTCCAGTAAGAATTTTTTCATGTAAGTGAAGATAATAGTGCTGTCTAAAAGTTTTTCACATTCTTTACACTTGTAGGGCTTCTCTCCAGTATGAATTCTTTTGTGTAATGGCAAGACACCAGGAGCTCGAAAGGCTTTACCACACTGCTTATGCTCACAGGGTTTTTCTCCAGTAGGAATTCTTTCATGTCTTTGAAAGGAAGTGGAAGAATTCGGAAGTTTACCACATTGATTGCATTCATAACATTTTCCTATGGCGTGAGTTCCTCCAAGTGTGTGAAGTGAACTGGTTTATAAACCAAGGCTTTTCTGAATTCCTCATACTAAAAAGGTTTCTCTGCACTGGGAATGTCTTGATGTATTCCAAATGAACTTGGAAAACTAAAAAATTTTAAACAACATGCCTCACATCCACAAGATCCATTCACAAGATGGGTTTTCACATCTCTTTGACAACCTGTGAGACTGAGTTCTGTGACCTGTTTCCACATTCCCATACTCATGTGGCTGATCCTGAGAGTGAGATGTGGTGTGGTTTTCAAAGGATGAATAGCATTAGGAAGCCTTTTTATACACAATGAGTTGACGTGGTCTTAGTCCAAATGTTCATGCTCTTATTGAGATTCGGTATCCAAGTTGAGGGTTCTCCATCTTCTTGACCACCTTCTTCACTCTTATAAGGTGTCTCTAACATATAACTTCTGAAACAAAAAAGACAAGCAAGTAGTTGCTTTACTGACAGTTCATTCACAGGTTTGAGTCATACACTGCTCCCAAAACCAGGTAAAGTGTTTTATCTTCTGCCACATCTGGTCTGAAACTAAATGAGCCGACCGTTCTACAATATGGCTCCCCCAGAGCTATGATAAAAATAGCAGCTTTTTTTCTTTCTTTTTTTTTTTTTTTGGTCTTTTGAGATAGGGTCTCCCTGTAGCCCCAGCTGGTCTGGAACTCACCATATAGATCAGGTTGGCCTTGAACTCATGGAGATCTGCCTGCCTCTGCCTCCCAAGTGCTAGGGTTAAAGGTATGTGCTACCACACCCGACTTTAAGTGTAATTTTTATAATGATGAAAAAATTTGAAGTTGTGCTTCCTTGGTTTTTTGTTTATTTGTTTGTTTGTTTTGCTTTTTCTTAAATTTCATGGGACATTAAAATTCCTTCAAAGGACCTTTGCTTCTACTTTGGCATACAACTTACCTTAGATTTCCACCAGGATTTTTATAATGATCTTCAGTATTCTGCTCTTCCCATTTGTTTCCCAAAATATTGATAATTAGAAATTACTAAAAAAATTAGTTTCTAGCTTCAGTGTTCATAGAAATTTACTGATTTACTCACCACATTCTTCCCTTCCAAATCACAAAAGATAACCAAAAAATTTATTTCTTAATTTGCTAAAATAAGGTGATTATTCTTACCTATAGCAGTGAGGTTTCTGCAGGTCTCCAGCATCGCATCTCTGAAGAGATTCTTCTGAGAAGGATCCAGCAAAGCCCACTCTTCCTGGGTGAAGTTCACAGCAACATCCTCAAATGTCACAGAATCCTAAACATTCCGAAGACTCCACTGATATGTTCACATGATCCTGTGGGATCCACATCTTTATTCCATGGCACAGATGTTCTGATGGAAGCACTGAGCAATTTGAAAGGAAAGAGCACTGTAGGGACTCTGCTTTCACTACTGGGCCCAGGGCACAGGATGTGCTGCTGCACTGCAACAATTCTTTCTATAGCGCATGTCTACTTCCCGTCTTAAGAAAGTCTTAACATCTGATGTTCAGAACAGTGTTAACTAGCATGCAAGAGCCTGCCTGTCCTTAGAAATTCCTGCTCACAATGTTTAACCCTTTTTTAATAAATAATTTATTGAGAATTTCATATATGCATTTAAGGTGTTTTTTAAAAATATTTATTATTTTTATTTTATGTGTAAGTGTGTATTGCCTGCATGTAGGTAAGTGCACCCGTGTCATGCAATGCCTGCAGAGAACAGAAGAGACTGTCAGATTCTCTGGAACTGGAGCTACAGACAATTGTTAGCTGCCATGTGGGTGCTGGGATTTGAACCCTGGTCTTCCACAAGAACAGTCAGTGTTCTTAACCACTGAGCCATCTCTCCAGCCCCAGCATATGAGGTGTTTTGATCAAATCCATGCCTACTCCCTCCCCTCCAACTCCTCCCATATCTCCCCATCACTTTTTTCTGATAACTTCAGGTACTCTTTCTTCTTTCTTTTTTTTTTTTAAACGGGGCTTTTGGCTACTCTAACATTCCCTCCCTGAATAGGTAACCCTAAAATCTTTTAAAGATTAGATAAAAGCTCCCAAGTATTTTCGACATTTTTGGCCTTTGGAACAGAGTATGTTGCTAACAGGCCCAAGGACATTGTGAGTTTTAGCCAAGAAACTGGCTACTTTTCTTTGGTGTCTTTTCACCCTAACTGCCTAGCCAATCCCTACCTCGGATTCTTATCACACCATCCTCGGAAGGGGTTACCCAAATTGCCAATGATGAATCAGGATACACACTGCTCTGGCTTCTTCCTTGCTGAACAGGGATGCATGGTGAGGCAATTGGAGTACCCCTTCAGTGGGTCTATCTAAAAGGCTCCCAAATTGCATAACTCTTATCTCTAGGGGGAAAAGAAAGTCCTTGAATTGTGAATAGGGGATGTGAAGAAGTAAAGGCAAGAGTAATTAGCATTACACGTTCTAGACAGTGAACTAAAAAACGTCAGAACAGGGCAATTCAAATGTTCAAATGAACTTTCTTGACAAGGGCTTCCAAAAGCATCCCTCTATTGGGTTCTTCTTTATTTTTCTTTTGCCTTCCAAGGCTGGACTCTAGAGTGATGGATTCAGGATTTGCTTTTAGGCATTTTGATAGCTGCTGGAGTGGTTAGAATCAGTGTCAGTTCCTTCTCAAAGGTTTCTAGATAGGGGGATCACAGTGTTTAACTTTTTAAAAATTCTTTTTTAAAAAATATTTTTATTTTATGTGTATGAGTGTATTGTCTGCAGGTATGTGAATGCACCCATGTTGTGCAATGCCACGGAGGTCAGAAGAGGGCTTCTTCAGATTCCCCTGGAACTGGAGTTAAGGATGGTTCGTAGCCACCATGTGGGTGCTGGGAATCGAACCTGGGTCCTCTGCAAGAGCAGTCAGTGCTCTCAACCACTGAGCCATCTCTCCAGCCCCAAAATTCTTATTTTTATTGTATGTGCATGAGTGTTTTACCTGCCTGTTTGTAAGTACATCCATGCATGCAATGCCTGAGGAGGTCAGAAGATGGCGTGGAATGCCCTGGAACTGGAGTTATGGATAATTGTTGGCCACCATGTAAGTGCTGAGAATCAAACACAGGTCCTCTGCAGGAACAGCCAATGCTCTTCACCACTGAGTCATGTCTCGAGCCCCACAGTGTTTTAAGTTTTGATGGCATGAAGGAACTCAAGAGTTTTATAGAGCTCTCATGAACATAAACGATAGAGTAAATCACTCAGAAAAAATGACTTATGAAGCTGGTGTGGTGGCACACACCTTTAATCCCAGCACTTGGGAGGCAAAAGCAGGTGGATCTTTGTGAGTTCAAGGCCAGCCTGGTCTACATAGTGAGTTTCAGGGCAGCTGGGGCTACAGGGAGACCCTGTCTCAAAAAGAAAAAAAAAAAAAAAATGAAATGGCACTTTCTAAACTATTAGCCTTCAAAAAGTATTAATTAATCTGTTTGAAATCCATACAGATAACCTGGGGATCAGATACCACCCCATCCAAAATATAGCAGTTTAATGAGCTTTCCTGATGGGTACAATTTCATACACCCTGTCATAACTTGTTAAGTGGGGAAATGAGCCCATCCTATGTATTTACAGAAAAAGAAATAATTTATATGTGGTTGTAGAGCAATTTTCTCCAACTTGAAACATTCTAACCAAGTCCACTTGTCTAGGAAAGCTGAGACTTCCAAGATCCACAAGGCCCCTGCTCAAGCTTACGGAAGCAGTAAGCCACCACTGGAGCGATCCCTCAACTGTGAAGCTGCCCACATGTCATGCAGAACACTCTAGGGCTCCGACCTTCATGAGTAATCACTGGTGTTATGGTGGGCTTTCCAGTGGCCTGCCTTTCAGTCATCCCTGCTCCTCTGTGGCAGAAACCCACCCAGCCACCCCACATCTCCAGAACAAAGAAAAGGAAATGCAGCATGGTCCATGCTGAGTGCACCCAGCTCTCCCCGTCATCACCTTGGAGAACAGATCACCCAATCAGGGTGTGGGCATCACCATACACAGGAGACAAAGAAACCCAGCTGTGCACGAGGTATAAAAGACCAGGCCTTTCTTTGTTCAGGGCCCTGCTTTAGAAAAATCTATCTCTCTGGGTCACTGTACTGGTACAATAAACTGCTTCCTGTTTGGTTTTGCCTATGCAGTCTGTTTTCCTCTTTTCTAGGCCTGCAATACTGTAAGTAACCCGTACTCCTGCAAGTATACCCAACAGACTCACTGGTTCACCTAGCTGGACACTGGTAGGATTATTACTTTGTCTGCCCTTGATTACTTATCTGGGGTGAGCAGACCTTGTGTCATGCCTTCACAGGAACATACTTGGTGCCTGAACAGGGAAATGACAGAAACAAGGATGAGTTGGACTGATTACATGGTCCTGGCTAGGAGTAGCAAGGCATGCAATTGAGTCTGAATAGTTTGAGGGCAGACAGAATTGAAACAGCTGTCCTTCACTATGTGGGGTAGTGTGCCTTGCTATAGTGACAGCTGCATACATCTGGGGATGGGTAGTGAGAAGCGTAGACACCTACAGGGATGTCTGGGGGGATCCCAGGGTACAGTCTTCTATGTGGTATGGAGTGGCACACTTGCTTAATGAGTAGGGTCTGCCATGTGAGTGCACAGAATGTTTAGCAGTCTAAAGCAAATACTGCATGTAAGGGAGATTACTAGCAAGCTGTCTGGGAGGCTGCTGGCAGCTGCTATATGTAGTAAGAAATGCGTCTGAGGGGCCCAGTGGTTAAGAGCACTGGCTGCTCTTGCAGAGGATCCAGGTTCAGTTCCCAGCACTCACATGGTGACTAACAACCTTCTGTAACTCCAGTATTGGGATCCGATGCCCTCTTCTGATCTCCGTGGGTACTGCATGACATGGGTGCACTTATATGCAGGCAATACACTCATATACATAAAAAATGATAAAATATATTTAAAAAATAAATATATCTGAGTCTAAGATGGCTGCACAGAGAGAACCTGTTTGTGTGAAGGAGGAATTACTGGCTTTGGATTTGGAAAGGAAAGCAAAAAAAGGATGAGATGGAAGCATTGGCTCACCTCTTCTTACAGTCAGCAGGATACAAAGCACAGAGAGGGTAAGTTAGGTGAAAGAGCCCTTCTTAGTATCCAAAAATTTGAAATCCATAGGATGAGTCAGACAGTGAAGAAAAGAAACATGCGGTAAAAGTGACCATAAGAACTGAGGATGAGGCTAGGCGTGGTTAGCACTCAGGGGGCAGAGGCAGGCAGATCTCTGTGAGTTCAAGGCCAGCCTGGTCTACACAGCAAGTTCCAGGCCAGCTGAGGCTACAGGGAGACCCTGTCTCAAAGAAGAAAGAAAAAAAAAAGAAAAAAGACTTGAGAGGTGGTGTATTGATGCCCAGTTCACCAGCAAGACAGGACTATCTATATTCACTGGAAGGTTAAGAAAAGAAGTGTTGGGGCTGGAGAGATGGCTCAGCGGTTAAGAGCTGACTGCTGTTGCAGAGGATCCAGGTTCGATTCCCAGCACCCACATGGTGGCTAGAACCGTCCTTAACTCCAGTTCCAGGGGAATCCGGAGCCCTCTTCTGACCTCCGCAGCATTGCACGACACATGCAGGCAATACGCGCATACTCATAAAATAAAAATAATAAAATATTTTTTAAATAAAAGAAAGAAGTGCAAAGGAAGAAGACCTCGCTGGTCCCAGGGGTGTGAAGTCCCGCCCCAGAGTGAGCTGTGGGCATTTCTCTCCAAATAAGAAGTACGCTGGGGGAGGACGCTACCGCAGAAGCCAGGTCAGGCTGAGGGAGAAATAAAGGGAGAGGCCAAGTGTCTACTAGAACCCAGATGGGATGCAGCCAGACAGGCAGGCTGTAGCCATCCCCCTTGGCTTTGGGCTAAACCAACGAGCCTGAGCTAGACTGTGAAGCTCATGGGAGTGAGGGAATGCATGGAGGCGGGATGAAGGTGTGCAGTGTAGAAACATTAAATATTTTTCTTTTCTTTCAAACCCTGCAAAACTTGGAACTTGGTTTATGACAAGGAATTCTAGTCTTCTCATCCCACCCTACCCTGTAAGGAAAAACCCTGATGCATTCCTGAGCCTGACGGCTTGGGTGTTTTTTGTTTGTTTGTTTGTTTTTGTTTTTTTGGGGTTTTTTTTTTTGTGTGTGTGTGTGTGTGTGTGTGTACCCGATTATTTTAAACTAGCCAAACAGGAAAGTGTGAGGTCGGACCCCAGCCAATGGGGAAAAAACAGTTCTCTTGCATTAGGGATAAAAGCCCACCAGGCTTCTAGGTCCCGTGTGTACTTGCTGGATCTGACTGACCACACAAGATGTACTTTTGCAAAAGTAAAATTTGTCTTGCTGACTTCCCTCCCCTCCATTCCCTGTGCTAGTACTCCATCACCCTCCCAACTTCATATGCCCTCTTTTTCATAAAAACTCAATGACTGGCAGTGGTGGTGGCACATGCCTTTAATACCAGAACTCAGGAGGTAGATGCAGGTGAATTCAAGGCCAGCCTGGTCTACATTTCAAGTCCCAGGCCAGCTGGGGCTACATGGAGAAAGGAACGGAGGGAGGGAGGGAAGGAGGGAGGGAGTCAAAAAAATATAGCATTTCAAAAACACACACACAGATTCCCCGGGAGAATGGAATAGCCACCAAAGCACAAGAAGGGTGTGGAAAGGAGGGACAGAGAGAGGATGGTTAATGGGTATAGGAACACAAGTCTACGGGAGGAATAATACTGGGGGGAAATATACTTTGTTTTGTCTATTTCTATGATGTGCACATGTATACATTCACGTGTGTACAGGTGTATGTGCCCATATGTATGCATATGTATGGACTCCAGAGGTCAACATGGGATGTCTTCCTCGATCATAAATTAGTTTTTGAAACAGGAAGCTGTTTTTTAAGTTGGAACTCACTAACTCAGCTAGACTTGCTAGACAGCAAGCCTCAGGGATCCCGCTGCCTGCACATCCTCGGACTAAACACATGTGACTGCTGGCAATCTCCACTCGGGCCTCATTTTTGTGCAGCAAGAACTTGGCTGTTGGTGCAATATCCCCTTCCCCAAGAGAAAACTTTTGTTTTGTTCACTGGTTTGGGCTTTTTTGGGTTATTTGGTTTTTGTTTTGTTTTGGTTTTGAGACAGGTCTCCCAGTAGCCCCAGCTGGCCTGGAACACGTATGTAGACCAGCTGGCCCTGATCTCAGAGAGATGCACCTGCCTCTGCCTCCTGAGTGCTGGGAGTAAAGGTTTGTGCTGCCACACCCAGCAGAAAAGAATTTTTAGATATTTTATTATTTTATGTATATGAGTGTATTGCCTGCATGTATATGAGTGCACCCATGTTGTACAATGCCGAGGAGGTCAGAAGAGAGTGTCAGATTCCCCTAGAATTGGAGTTAATGATGGTTCTTAACTGCCATGTGCGTACTGGGACTCAAACCCAGGTCTCTTGCAAGATCAGTCAGTGCTCTTAACCACTGAGCCATCTCTCCAGCCCCCCAGCAGGAAAAATTTTTAACAATCATAAAACATCTTGACAATTACATTTCATAATAACTGAAGACTGTGAAATAGTGAGTACACTGGATTCACAGTGTTTTCAATACAGAGGAATAACATCTGAATTGGTAGATGTGCCCACTGCTCTAATCCAATCAATACATTTTGTAGGAATGTGTTGCAATATCACAGGTGGGCATCAAGACACACACCTTTAACCCCAGTAGCCAGAGATCAAGAAGGGAGGATTCTTTGGTGCAGGTTTTGTTCTTTTTAATTTATTTCCTTCTTTCCTGCCTTCTTTTATTTTTCATTATTTTATTTTATTGGGGGGGTGATTTACTTACATTTATTTTCTTTTTATTTTATATGTATGAGTGTTTTGCCTGTATATGTATAAGTGCACCCATGGAGGTCAGAAGAGGAATGTCAGATCCCCTGGAGTTAAGGATGACTGTTAGCGCCTATGTGGGTGCAGGGAACCAAACCCAAGTCCTCTGCAAGTAGCCAGTGCTCTTAACTGCTGAACCATCTCTCTGGACTCATTTTCCTCTTTTTTTGAGGCAGGGTCTCCCTGTAGCCCCACCTGGCCTAGAACTTGCTATGTTGACCTTGATCTCACAGAGATCCCCTTGAACACAGTAAGAAATTCTCCCACCTGGGGGCTGGAGAGATGGCTCAGCAGTTAAGAACATTGGTTGTTCTTGCAGAAGACCTGGGTTTGAATCCCAGCACCCACATGGCAGCTAACAACTGTCTTTAACTCCAGTTCCAGGGGATCCAACGGCCTCTTCTGTCCTCCGCGGGCATTGCACAACATGGGTGCACTTACCTACACACAGGCACTACACACATACATATAAATTTAAAAAATAAAATAAAATATGAAAAAAAAAAGAAATTCTCCCTCCTGAATGCTGGGATTAAAGGCATGCCCCTCACCTGGCAAAACAGGATTGAAGAGTGTGAGCCCATCATAGGCTTTATGAGTTCACAGCCAACATGGACTCGTAGTATGACCCTGTCTTATAAAATGAAATAAATCACACTGTACCCGATAAATAAGTGCAGTTGTTCCCAATCACCTCACTATTGTCCTTTTGTTCGACCTGGATACAAATCAAGAAGCTCTTCAAGTGCTGGTCTACACAGCCTTTGTATCCTTAGCCAGTTGACAGCAGTGAGGAGTGGCAGTAGGCAGGGGATCAGCAGCAGGTGGTGCCTTTAGTGTCACAGCCAGGATGTACTTCACAGCAGAAGCCCAGAGCTACAAGAATTAAAGGCCTTGTTTTGGTCAAGGACTGAACTGATTAAATTTAAACTGCCTTTACAACTCTTTTTGACTAAACTCAGCATGATTACTTAATTTCATTTAACTTGTATCAGGACTTCAACCAACAAATCAAAGAACACATTATTCCCAGGATCACATGCAATATTCACCAAGATGTCACCTCAGTCATAAATACAAGAGAGCAGTTTGCATACAAAAGTATATGGTGTAAGACCATATGAAATTTAAGGAGAAATAAGGGCTGGAGAGATGGCTCAGCGGTTAAGAACACTAGTTATTCTTGCAGAAGACCCGGGTTTGAATCCCAGCACCCACATGGCAGCTAACAACTGTCTTTAACTCCAGTCCCAGGGGATCCGACAGCCTCTTCTGACCTCCGCAGGCATTGCTGGACTTGGGTGCACTTACCTACATGCAGGCAATACATGCATACGCATAAAATAAAAAAAAAAGAAATAATTTTTTTTTAAAGTTAAAAAAAAAAGAAATTTAAAGAGAAATTAAAAAAGGAAACAATTGGACAATCTCCAGATAGTTGCATAGTAAATTACAGAGTTCTAAGAACACTTGAATCAAAGAAAGATCTCAAGAGAAATCTAAATGCGTTAAAAAAAAAAGCTGGGTGTGGTGGTGCAGGCCTTTAATCCCAGCACTAGGTAGGCAGAGGCAGGCAGATCTCTGTGAGTTCAAGGCCAGCCTGGTCTACAAAGTGAGTTCCAGGACAGCTGGGGCTACAGAGAGACCCTGTCTCAAAAAAGACAAAAAAAAACAAAAAACAGTTAAAAGTCTTAGAGAAAGTTCCAAGGCTGTCACATCCCTAGACAAATGTAATTTGTTACTATGTCCAAAATATGGATCCTTAAATTTATAGACCAGTATCCCAGTCACCACCCATCAAAGAAGCTTCTTTTTCAAGAGACAGAGATAATTACAGAGTTCTACAACTGATCATACACAGAGAGTGTCTGTGAATTGCCCAAGCCTAAGTAGCACATCTAGGATGCATCCTCTCCACCTAAGGCTCATGGAACACACCATAAGGAATGAAGAGAACACTAATGCATCTTTCAATTCTCATCAATGAAGCTCCCTCATGCAGCAGAGGGCCAGGAACACAAAAGGTCACAAATGGCCAAAATGCAGAGAATAAGAGTCTGCAGAGTGTGGGTCCTTGGACAGGTCTCCTACATTAAAATCCACCTGCCCAGGGCTCAGGGACCATTTTGGAAGAGAGGGGGGTAAGATTGTAAGAGCCAGAGAGGAGGAGCATGACCATACAGATATAGTCCTACAGGCACCTGGGACTCTTCTCATATGAACCTACAGCAATTGTGTCAGCATGCACAAGACCCGTGCAAACTTAATAAGCAGACAAAAACCCAGCAAAGAACCATGGAAATGAACAGCAAGCCCCAATCTTAGTTGAAGAATTATTGGTAGCTGATTGCTGCTGGGTGAGGAAGAACTGATATTCTTAAAGGGAGGGACACTAGATAGGCTGACTAGATCCCAGTGGATGGGAGGGACTGAGGGACATCTGGGGACACTAACTTTACATGCTAGGCCTTAACACAAATGATAGAATGTATGAACTCCAATGGGGAGGAGGGTTTTGGGAGGGTGCCAAAGAGGAAGGGGTAGAAAGATGATTTTCTGAATAAAATATACAAAAATTAGATAAAAAAAAAAAAAGCCAGGCGTGGTGATGCACGCTTTTAATCCCAGCACTCGGGAGGCAAAGGCGGGCAGATCTCTGTGAGTTCAAGGCCAGCCTGGTCTACATTGTGAGTTCTGGGACAGCTGGGGCTACGGGAGACTCCGTCTAAAAAAGACAAAAAAAAATGTATTAAAGACGGGGCGTGGTGGCACACACCTTTAATCCCAGCACTTGGGAGGCAGAGGTAAGTGGATCTTTGTGAGTTCAAGGCTAGCCTGGTCTACATAATGAGTTCCAGGACAGCTGGGGCTACAGGGAGACCCTGCCTCAAAAAGACAAAAAAAAAAAAAAACCCAAAAAACAGTGAAAGTACATTTTATTAAAAGTCAAAGTCTAAAGCACAAGTGGGGAAAGCAAATGTGGGTAGTTTAGTAAGCTGGGGCTCTTCTGGGTTCAGAGTGCACACACACCCATCTTCTACAATACACTTGGCGGCCCAAAAGCCCTCCCTGCCTGTACTATTCACACACACCCCCACTCTAAACAAAGCATCTAGCAACCTACTAACAAGACATGACCCCTTCCTGGATGGAGCTGCATATACCTCCCTATAAACAATGGAGTAAGCCTCTCCTCCCTTTAAAGACCACCAAACTTAGACAGCTTCTATCGAGCTAAATTATTATTAAATACATCTTGATCTATATACTGGTTCACATCCTGCTCCAGGGTAGGACTGCAGATCCACCCGGAACTTGTTCGGGGTATATTTCTTTCTGGTATTTACTGTTGCTTTGATTTTGTTTTCCGTGTGGGTTTTTGTTTTGTTTGTGGAATAAGAGGCCAAGAACCTGGAAAACCCAGTCCAGACCCCGACCGTCACAACACAAGCAGTGTTTCGAAGCGAACGAAAGTGTGAATGGGAACACTAGAAGTGAAGGGGGGTGTCAGTCGTTGCACCCTACATATTATTTTTTTTAATTTTATGTGTATGGGTTTATTGCCCGCATGTAGGTAAGTGCACCCGTCTCGTGCAATGCCTGTGAGGACAGAAGAGGCCGATGGATCCCCTGGAACTGGAGTTACAGACAGTTGTTAGCTGTCATGTGCATACTGGGATTCAAACTTTGGTCTTCTGCAAGACCAACCAGTGTTCTTAACTGCTGAGCCATCTATCCAGACCCTCACCCTCCATATTATAAAGGAAGAGAGATTGGCCTAGATCAAGCACTGGAAAATGATAACTAGAGAATGAAATTGCCAATAGGAAAACAATAGAGAACTCAATGATCATAAAATTGATTCTTCAAATATCAATTTAAAAAAATGTATTGGGCCAGGTGTGGTGGCGCAGGCCTGTAGTCCCAGCACTTGGGAGGCAGAGGCAGGAGGATCTCTGTGAGTTTAAGGCCAGCCTGGTCTCCATAGTGAATTAGGCCAGCTATCGCTACAGGGAGACCCTGACTCAAAAAGACCAAAAAAAAAAAAAAAAAAAAAAAAAGAAGCCAGGTGTGGGGAATGCCCTTAATACCAACACTTAGGAGGCAGAGGCAGGTGGATCTCTGAATTTAATGCTAGCTAGGGCTACACAGTAAGACCCTGTCTCAAAAAATGAAAAAGTGTATGTGTGGTCTCTGAGTGTGTGTGTGTGTGTGTGGACTCAAACTTGTAATCTCAGCATTCTTGAGGTTGAAGCAGGAAAATCACCATTATTTGAAGACCAGGTTGGCAAAAAAAAAAAAAAATTAGTAAAATTGATAAAACTACATAGAAGAGTGAGGCTGGAAATGGTGCACATATTAAGAACACTGACTGTTCTTGCAGAGAACCGGGGTTCAATTCCCAGCACCCACATGGCAGATAACAACTGTCCATATCTCCAGTCCCAGGGGATCTGACGGCCTCTTCTGACCTCCGCAGGCATTGCACACATGGGTGCACTTACACACATGCAGGCAATACATTCATTCACATAAAATAAAAATAACAAATCAAATATTTTTAAAAAAACACAAAATATATAGTCAATTTTTTGAAAAAGAGCAAAGAAAAGTCAATATTAGTATGGGAAAATCAACAAATATTACTGGACAATTTGAGCATCCATACCCCAAAACTAATTTACATAGAGTTTACAAACTTCCACAAAATCAACTCAAAGTGGATTCTACACCTTAAGGTGCAATGCAAGACTCGGAACGTCCAGAAAATAACCCACAGAACTTAGAGGGTGGGCAACCGGCCTTCTTGTGACGTCACTAACATGGAACCGGTCAGGGCAGTGAGGACCCTCAGCTCCCCACGAGATGCGCAAGCCGGCCCGTGGGGCGGAGCTACCCGAGGCCGCCAGGGGGCAGTGCTGCACCATCGGCCCCGCCACCCGCCCCGCCCCACCCGGGGAGGACGAGGCACAGCCCCCTGTGGCAGCTCCACTCTGGGGTCTGGACACAGCCGGTCCCACGCTCAACATGGCCCGGCTTCAGGCTCCCCTCGCGCTCTCCGCAGCGCCCCGCAGGGCGCTCCTACGTCAGCCCTCTCTCAAAACCCTCAGCGTGGTGGCCAAAAGAAGCCGCCCGCCGGTGCTCCTGATTGGACGATCTGGAGGACCTGATTGGCTAGGACCGCCCAGAGAGGCCTGAGTGACAGGAGGCGCTGAAACGCTCAGGGGAAATTTGCATTCAAGTTCAGCTTGCCCCTGAGCTGGCTCTGGTGTTTTGGTGAACTTTGTAGGCGCTTCTTCCTCGACACAGGATGGCTCTTGTGCACAGTCCTTTTGCTGACCCAGTGTCCAATGCTCAGAGCCTGGACCCTAGCAGTCCTGACAAGCCAGGCTGTTCTCAACAGGCTAATTAGACAAGTAAAGTGAAAAGGAGAAAAAGGAGATTTATACAATGTGGCCACACTGGAAAAAGAAGCAAAGGGATCCAGTATCAACCCCCCGCCCACTCCCTAAGTCATGGGTCTTGATGTGAAGTTTAAACAGAATGGGAAAGATGTTAATACAGTACTCCTATATGAAAGTCTCAAAAATAATTGAATTTAGTAAATAAGAGGCAACAGGAATGTATGATTGGGCAATCCTGATCAAAGTGTTATTGGAGAAACCGAGATTTTTTTGGCGGTTATCTGTCTCATTAACAAAAAGGATTTAGAAATAGACTGGAAACAAGCTCAAGGACAATTTTATTCGTTTACAAGAAAAACAAGGCAGTAAGCTGTAAACCCTTGCAGGTAGAAGAGGGACATGGCAAGGGGGAAGAGAAAGCCATGCTGTTTGCAATGAGGTCAGTGATCAGCCGCACGGTAAGAGAGAGCG